TACTCCTGGTACTGTTTCTGGAGGGTTATCTATCTTGGCGTTCATGTATTAAATGGTCTTTTTTTTAAAGATCATTTTATTGGGGCCTCTTACAGCTCTTATAACATTCTATGCATCAATTGTATCAAGTATATTGTACATATGTTGCCATCATCATTTCCAAAACATTTTCTACTTGAGCCCTATAAGCTCCTCTTTTTTCCCCATTCCTATCCATCTTTCCACCCTCGTGAATCTTTGATCCATTATATATTGTTATTATTCCATATCTTACACTGTCCATTGTCTCCCTTCACCTACATTTCTGTTATTCTTCCCCTCTGGTGGGGAGCTATATATCCAACCTTGTGATGGGTTCCCCTTTCTCTCCCTTCCCCATCCATGTCTATCCCCCTACCCACATGATATTGCTACTTCTGTTCAAATGATCTTAATTATACTAATATACGTACTCAAGTCTAACATGAATAATGAGGTAAAACAAGTAAAAACCATAATAGTAAGGGCAGGAAATATCAAAGAACTAGAGGATCGTTATGTGCTTCATCAGTGCTTTACCACACCCTGGATTTATTCCTTCTGTGTGGCCCTTCTGAGAGGGACTGTCCAATGAACTTGCTGGTGGGTTTTGGGTCTCCACTATATCCTCACCCCTTCACATCTGTTTGCCTGCTTGTTTTGAACTTCTGATGCCATTTCCCGTCCACACCACATAGTCACACAGGCTGGCGTGCTTCTTCCTTGTGAGTTTTGTTGCTTCCCTGCTAGATGGCCACTTGTTTAACCACAAGCCTTCAAGACTCCAGATGCTTTATCTTTTAAAAGCTGGGCACCATCAGCTTTCTTCACCACATTTGCTTATGTACCCATTTTGTCTTCAGTGATCGTGTCAGGAAGGTGTCATACAAAGCCACTTTATTAGAACAAACCATTCTTGTACTGAGGTAAGATTTAAGTAGAGGCCAAAGTCCATTGTTGCATATGCATTTATATACACATATAAGCATACCTATATTTAAACAATTATATATTTAAGTGTTTACATATATACATATGTATGTATACCTATCTGTATATATTTTTTCTTCTTTTTCTTTTTTCTTTCCTCCTGCCCCACTATGATGTGAACCCATTGTTCACCTCTCAGTAATTTCTCTCAGATACAATTTTATTGATCAAACATGACCAGAAAATCTACATCCTCCTCACCATCCATTTACAACGCTTACTATTCTGTACCTGTCTTTATTGGCTCACCACCTCCTCCCCCGCCTCTTCCCTTCTTCTGTTGACATTGG